ACTTTACTTCTTTAACAACTCGAAACATTCAACAAGTCCAAGCAATGCATGAACTTGTCTGTCGTAACTGGCTTGGTGAACATATCAGCGGCATTCTCATCAGTATGTACCTTCTGAAACAAAATATCTCCAGATGCAACCAACTCTTTGATCTTGTGAAACCTTACATCAATATGTTTAGTTCTAGCACGATATACCTGATTCTTAGCCAAGTGAATAATACTTTGATTGTCACAAAGCAACTGAACTCCACCTTGCTGAACACCCAACTCCTTCACTAAACCAGTAAACCATAAAGCTTCTTTTGCAGCTTCAGCCGCTGCCATGTATTCATCTTCATTTATAGATAATGCCACAACAGATTGAACAGTAGACTTCCAACAAATAGACCCTCCACCAAGAGTAAAGACATACCCTGTCGTAGATCTTCTATTATCCAAATCACCTGCATAGTCTGAATCCACATATCCTACAACCAAAAGATTATCCCACTGACTACCAAAAATAATTTCATATCCCACGGTACCTTTTAAGTACCTAAAGATCCACTTGACTGCTTCCCAATGTTGCTTACCAGGTTTAGACATGTACTTACAAACTTGACTAACAACATGAGCTAAATCAGGACGAGTACATACCATTGCATACATAAAGCAGCCAACAACATTAGAATACAGAACCTTTGCCATATCTTCACCTTCCTTATCTATATTAGGGCACTGTTCTGTTGAAAGCTTAAAATGATTCGCCAATGGAGTGCTCACTGATTTTGCGCTGCTCATCGCAAACCTTTCTAGCATTTTTTCAACATAACCCCGTTGAGATAGCCACAGTTTCCTTGAGTCTCTGTCCCTGCAAATTTCCATTTGAAGAATTTTCTTTGCAGCACCTAAATCTTTCATATCAAATTCCTGACTCAATAAAGTTTTCAAATCGATAACATCATCCATGTTTTTCGCAGCAATTAACATATCATCAACATACAATATCAGAAAAATAAAAGAACCATCATCAAGGCTCTTAACATAGACACAACAATCATACTCACATCGCTTGTAGCCAATCTTGATCTTATAGGAGTCAAACTATTTGTAGCATTGTCTCGGAGACTGTTTCAACCTGTACAAAGATTTCTTCAATCTGCAAACTAAATGCTTGTTTCCAGGTTAAGTGAAACCTTTAGGCTGCTGCATGTAGATATGCTCCTCTAAATCACCATACAAAAAAGCAGTTTTAACATCCATATGCTCTAAATGCAAATCCCAACTAGCCACTAATGCAAGTACTGCTCGGATTGTAGTGTGCCTGACCACAGGAGAAAAAAATTCATCATAATCAACTCCTTTCTACTGTGAAAAACCCTTTGCTACCAAACGAGCCTTGAACTTCTCCCTCTCTTTTTTTGTTACTGCTGGTTTCTTCTTATACATCCATTTTCAACCAATAGGCTTCTTACCCTCAGGAAGGCGAACTAACTCCCATGTGCGATTGTGATTCAAAGACTCCATGTCCTCAACCATGGCAGCCATCCACTTGTCGTTTTCTTGACTAGTAACAACATCATGAAAAGTAATCGGATCATCAGTGCTAACAGTAGGTGTAAAAGAGACAAAGTCTTCAAAACCCAATCTATTCGGAGGCTTTATATTAGCCCCTCTCACTCTGTCTCTGGCGAGACTATAATCCTGCAAATCATCCGTAGCGAAACCACTAGAAGTCGGTTGAGAAGTTTCTGTTTTCTCAACTGGAAACTGTTCGAAATCCACCACTGTTGTGTCTTTCTTTTGCTGCAACATGGGTTGTTCATCAAAAACAACATCTCTATTGATCACAATTTTCTTCGCAACTGGATCCCAGAACTTGAATCCTTTGACACCTTTCTTGTAACCCAGAAAAATGCACTCATTCGATTTTGCATCAAGTTTGGATCTCTCATCAGCAGGTACATGCACATAAGCAAAACAACCAAAAATCCGTAAGTGATCAAAAGTAACATCATGACCAGTCCATACCTCTTCTGCAACTTTCCCAACCAATGATGCCCTTGGCGATCTATTGATAAGATAACACGCCATGTTAACAGTCTCATCCCAGAAGTGTTTGGGAAGCTCCACATTCAACCGAAAAGATTTGGCTATTTCATTCAACGACATGTTCATCTGTTCCGCAACACCATTCTGTTGTGGTGTCTTGCGCACTGTAAAATACCTCTTAATCCCATGCTCCTTATAGAAATTTAGAATCTGTGAATCTGTGTACACCATACCATTGTTAGACCGCAAACACTTGATTTTTCGTCCTGTTTGGTTTTCTACCTCAACTTTCCACAACTTGAACTTCTCAAAAACGTCAGACTTCTGTTTTAAAAATTACACCCAAACTTTCTGTGAAAAATCATCAATGAAAGTAACATAAAACCAATATCCACCCAAAGATGATGTCGTGGAAGGCCCCCATACATCAGAATGCACATAATCAAGAATCCCTTCAGTTGTGTGCTTCCCAGTCTTGAAACGAACTTTAGTTTGTTTACCAAGAACACAATACTTGCAAAAATTGAGCTTACAAATTTTAACACCATGCAACAGATTTCTTTTATGTAATTCAGCCATACCACGTTCACTAAGATGAGAAAGACGCATATGCCACAGTTTGGTAGTATCATCACATGACTCAACAGAATGAACTCCACCTACAACGGTACTCCCCAACAATCTGTAAATATTCCCTGCAGTCATCTTTCATTTCATCACAATCAAAGCTCCTTTAACAATCTGAATGGTTTCCCTATCCTCATCAGCCTTAGGGATAAAACCATTCTTGTGCAAAGTGCCCAAAGAAATCAAATTATTCTTCAAATCTGGGATATGTCGAACACCACACAATGTCCGAATAGAATCATCATACATCTTAATTCTGACATCACCAATACCAACAATATTGCAATATCGATCATCACCCAAATAAACAGAACTAAAATTAACCGACCTGTATGTCGAAAACCATTCCCTATTTGGCATGATATGATAAGAACATCCAGAATCAAGAATCCAAACATCCGTCAATTGAGTCGTTGAAATAGAGAGCATATCACCCTCACAACAATCAGAATTGTCATCCTCGACCACATTCACATACTTGGATAAGTCATCACGCTTCTCATCAGTCTGTTTTTTCAACTTCGGACAGTCTCGCTTCATATGTCCCGCCTACTTGTACTTGTAACAGTGAATTGTCTTCTTAACACTAAATTTGGATCTGAAATTCCACTTCCCAGACCCTGCATTATCTGGCTTCCGTCCACGGTCTCGATTACCCTTGACATATAAGCTATCAGCTTGAGAGCTTTCCCCTGTATTCTGCTTCCGCTGATTGTGAGCCAACAAGGCTGCAATAATCTCCTCAACTTTGATAGTCTCTTTCCTATATGTAATAGTAGTCACCATGTGTTCGTAAGAGGGGAGGCAACGAACACAACAGAATCATCGCTTTGTCTTCATCCTTAATTTTCACATCAAGCCGAGCCAAATCAGAAACAATTTGATTGAAGGCATTCACGTGTTGTTCCAAATCATGATCGTCCTGCATCTTCAACCCATACAACCACTGCTTTAGATACAGTTTAGTCGTTAAGGATTTAGACATAAACTGACTTTTCAACTTCTTACAAATTTCATCTAGAGATGACAAATGCATGACGTGATACATGACCTCGTCCGCCAAACATAATCGTATGGTTCCTGCTGCTCGCTCCTGCAATTCTTCCCAATCTTCCTCCTTCATTGACGCCGGCTTTGTAGGTCGCAAAGCCTTCAGGATCCCTTGCTGCGCCAATAGATCCTTCACCCTTGTTTGCCATAATCCGAAGTTACCCTGACCATCGAATTTCACAACTTCGAATTTAGATCCTGACATCTGATACCAATTGTTGAATAATCGGGTAAAGAAAACGGAAAAAACACAAGAATTTTAACGAAGTTCAGTAATGTGCTTACGTCCTCGGTGCCCTAGGCGGTCCTAGAATTTTTGTTCAATTCAATGTCTCATAGGTTTAGGTTACATCTTCTTTTATAATAAATAAACCCTGGTACATATTTACAAAAATAACCATGTACCGTACCACGTGGGCGCAGCCCCCAACCCACATAATCATAACCCCAACTACGAGACTTTCTTTGTACATGTATATTTATGAGCTATACCTAACATGTTCTTATATGTTACATACTGTAACATGCAGTTTTTCATAAAGACTCCAGTAATTTCTTGTCCGTAATCCAATGGTCAGATTCAAAAGATTCCTATATATTGAAATATTCCAACCATGCAAGTGAAGTTATACGAGAAGAATTAGCTAGCACCTGTTAGGGAAAGTCACCATTTTCCAGCTGAGAATTGACTATCAGCTTTGTAGCACGGTGTAGAGGCTTCGGGTCTCTTTCCGCCTGTTCAACATGAATCAAACCCATCATAGCCCATGTTGTATGCACCAAGTTTGATCTGCCATCTTTCAGTGGCACATATCTCTGCCTGACCAACCAAATAAATATTGCTAAATAAAACAATGTCATATACCAAACATGGAACATGACACAAGGCCTAAGTGTTCCATGAAATTTAAGATTTACCTTCTTGGGACATCTTTTGTAGCTCTCACCCCACCCACCACTCTCTCTTTGGGTGTTAAGTAGGAACTTAACATCTTTGCACATCGCTGCACAATTGGTGTATGTATGCCCTGCCGCTGCAAGCCCTTCGAGTACAAACCATGTACCGAAATTTAAGTAGACTCCCCAGTTGCCATACCTATTGAATTGTTTAATCCGATTCAACTAGGGATGGCAAACGGGAGGGTCGGGTGAGGATACCCCCTCCCCATCCCCATACCCACCTAATATTTTCCAATCCACAACCCGCCCACCACCCATGATGAGTAAAAATTTTCAAATCCACTCTCGCCCACATGGGTACATTCTCAAATTCATCCCGACTCCCACTACCCAACTGGAGATGTACCCGCCTAGACCCGCCTGACAGTTAGGGGTGTGCAAAAAAATCCGATCCGACCGATCCGATCCGTTGACCCGTTGATCCGATCTGTTTTTCAATTTTTGGATAGTTCGGATCGGGTATCCGAATTTTTTTTCTGAATTATCGGATCAGATACGGATCGATAAAAAATCATGTTCAGATTATTCGAAAACTAGAAAAAAACTTGGGCTATATTCGAAGACCAGAGGAGATTTTCGCATAAGGCGTGGGCACAACTTATTCATCCTGAGCTATCGTAAAAAAAGTCTACAGTTAAGGCATGGGCATGCCTTTCCAGTCCGTACAACCCTAAATTAAGACTTGTTATATACAAAGCCACCGTCTATAAACTTCAAAACCTCCGTTGTTTTTGTGGATTTCATGTCTCCCACCTCTCCATTTATAGACCACCAACCACACTACCATATTAAGCTAAACTATCTACCAGTAGTCATTATATGTCCTAATCATCATCCTATATAAGACCAAAACTTCAACAAACCATCAACGATAAGAATTACAAATGTTGGATAGACACCTAAATAAATACATTCTTTGAGTTGTAAAAATATTATTGACACAACTTTCTTTGAGTTATTTAATAACTCTCTTTATTTGTTGATGTACATGTTTCTAATTATAATAAAGTTTCACCTACCCAAAATTAAAACATGATTTCATCTCTTTCCCCACACCAGCAACCAAACAAACTTATACAAATCTAAGCAAATGATCCAGGATGCATAAAATATAACCCGGTGTTTGGATCTTTACCTTTGCATTATCCCAATCCAGAAAAAGAAGATCAAATCTAAGTTGTATTGGTTTTGGGCTTTTTTTTTCAAGATGTTTTATGCATGATTATACAAATTATAATGCATAAATTATTCATAATTTTCAAAATCAGCAGAATGTGTGAATGCACTCAAATTCAGAAGAATACCAAAATCGATAATATAATATAATATACGTACATATAATGTGTTTCTTAAAAATCAAAATCAATATACGAATGCTCTTAGATTCAGCAGAATATCAAAATCAAAATAACGAAGTATTGACTATTAGCCTTGTATCTTGAACAGAACTAAGAGGATTAGATCTGAAAACCGTAGTATTCACCTTACAACAAATTAAAGTGGTCACAAACAACTTCGATGCGACAAACAAGATTGGGGAAGGTGGTTTTGGATCTATGTATAAGGTGACATAGAACTCTACTACCCGCAGAGGAGACCAGGGTAAAGAAGAGAAAGAAGGCGTACCTGAATGAGCTGGAGACCAGAGTTTGGAACTTAGAGAAGAACTACCAGAATATCGGCGTAGTAACCAACAAACAAAGCACGAGAGGTTTGAAAGAAAAAATGATTCATAAACTTATCCCTAATATTTGATTAAATTATAAGTTATATCTTATACAATATTAAGATTTATAAATTAGTCTCTAAAATTATACCTAAATTCATAATGATCCAAAATTTAATGAATATTTAGTGGGTGGGAGGATGTGGGGCGAGCGGATGCGGGGCGGGATGATGCGGAGCGGGTAAGGTCTCAAACCCATCACCCGCCCACTACCCGCGACATGTACCACTTTCAAAATCCACACCCGCCCACTACCCACTAAAGTTATACCCATCCCCGCCCCAATTGAAGCGGGTACGATACGGAATCCACGAAATTGTACCCGTTTGCCATACCTAGATTCAACTCTAATGCTTTTTGAAAAGCAATCATAAAGGCCTATTCGATTAAATCCAGAAAGCGCATACCATGAACCATCAGGCATTTGTATATCTTCAAGGTAGTGTACTGCATGCATTCATAATGAAATTCTTGATTTCTTTCTTCCTGTGCCTAGGGTACAACTTCTTAAACAGAACCAAGGCATGGATTGAAGATGCTGTGCACTCAATGTATTCATGCTCTGTGACTATATCGGCCAAAAATTCGGTGGGATTAAGCATCTGAAGAAGAAGAAGAACAAAGAAGGAACCATCACTAACATATGTCAACTAAGAGTACAGCAGAGTTTAACATATCAATGACTAAGCACTTACTTCCAACCACTCTTGAGCTCCAACAGGCTCCCAGGCAGCTAATCCTCCATTTTTGCTCTATATTTAACAATTGAAGCATTTTAAGCTTATCGAAACGACGAACAACTTGAACTAAGTGAACAACATTAGCTCTTACCTGAAGAGAGAGTATAACATTGACTGCATCATATAACTGTTGAGGTTCCATTTTCTCACCAACAATTTCTGGTGGCAACATGGACATGAGCAGACAACACTGCAAAACAGAGGAATATCTGTTAAGGTAACAAAATAATACTTTTTAGAATGCATTTGATTGAGACTAAAGAAATCAGTTGCCTTCAAGCCTTCTGAAGTGCAATCAGAAACCTTCCATCCATGATCTTGATCAGAGAAAGTCCAAGATCCCTTCGAAATATGATGGTTCATTTTCTTAAAGTCGCTGTAAGGATTGTCCTTGACCTATTCGTTATAAACAGAAGATAACAATTATATCCGTCGACATTCGATGAGCAACAGAAAAGATTGGAAATAACTTAATGTTGAATGGAAGTGATATTGAACCTGAGATTTCTTGATGATGTCATGTCCTCTCTTGAGCACAGGTCCAATTTGTTCAGTGAGGTTACTTGCAAGTAAAGCTTGAACAGCGAAACCAGTATCCCATTGTTGGCTTCCAAAGCTCTGCAGACCAAATATCATGAAGTTTTTTTTTAAATGACAACCAATATTTGCGATATCTTTGTTTGCTACTGATTTAACCAATAATTATTATTTTTAAGAGAATGGATGTGCACAAACCTGCATCTTCATTCCATGTTCAGCCACCCAAAGGTAATCCGGGATTCGAGCAAGGTGTTTCCTGAAATAATCACTATTTGGGTCATCAGCCCAACAAGCAAGCGTGCATAATACCTACTCCATTCAATAGCACCAGATGGTTGGTAATCAAATAGCCATACATGCATGGATCGATTTTTCGAAACCTCAGCTATGATTGCAATTCGTAAAATTACCTTCTCCACACAACCAATGGTGATGTATCTACTATTTTCATCTTCATAGTGAATGTGTTCCATTGTTACTAGGAGAGCCTTCTCTCTGATCAACTTGTTAAAAGGTTGACGAGAAAGCAACGGTTCGGTGCATATATATAGACTATCCCACTTCAGATCCGGAATCAAAGGGTGTGGATAATAGATATCCTCCTGTAACAACAAATTATTTATCAACATTTTATGAACTTAATTCTAGTGTAGTTTAATATCTTTGCAGTCTGTAATTTGAACTCAACAGAGATAAACTTACAGGTGCACATAAATGGCGTATTTCTTCCAGTTAATTTCATTGTAAGGCTGAAGGTAGAGTTCTTCTCTCAATTGTTTGATGAGAGGCGTGATCGGCCCAATGAACCTTTTCCCATATAGATATGACATTGGCATGTACACCATACGACAGTAACACCACATTTTAGCTACACATTTGAAAGGCCAGTGATGATTAACGTCCTTCATCCATATATATATATAATATGAGCTGATATCAGTGCAATGAAATTGATTCGTGCAAACCTGGATGCATAGGAAGGAAAGAAGGAAGGAACCAGAACTCTGGGGGCATTGGGTTAGCTCCAGACCAGTCAAAAACGCCAAGTATCTACCAAAAGAAAGGAACATTATAAAATTTCTTTGGTTTTCTCTGTCTGAATATGGGTAAATTTTAAAGGTCAATTTGTAAAACATGTGCATTCATTCATACAGAAAGCCAAGTCTTTCCCCAAGAGGGAATGTGAGTGACACTGCCATGGTCAAGAATCCACTTGCTGGCTCTCACACAAGCGTTGTCGAGTCAACCATCGGGTCCTTCCCCAAGAATACGCATGCAAATTTAGCTTAGTGCCGTGCAGAACATGGTGCTGTGACCTATATGCAATTCCCAACCTCCATCTCCATTCTGCATCACATTCATGCTTCAATAAACTTGGTATATATATACATACATACACACACTCCAATGATCATAATATATAATATGTACCTGATTATAGTATATATAACGAAGGATTTCTCTACGATGCTCTTGGGAGAATATCGTGTTAAGGTGTCCGGTGATATACATACTAAAAACCTGCAATTTTTGAGTAGATAACATTATAGACTAGTATTTGCATTTGATTCGGAGTTGATAGACAAGTCCCGGCCAAGAAATTTTACCAAGGGTGGAAGGAAAAACAATGGACCAGCATTTTCAGCAGGCCAATGACCGTCACTGGCTTGCAAAGCTGAGAAGAAATGTACAGCCTTCTTCAGTGCTGTTGTGGCCTTCTCATACGAGATTTGCTCGCCATCTTCAATTTTCACTGCTGCTATAGTTTGCTTGAAATTATTTTCTCTAAGAAACTACAATTTTACATACATCATACGATATGAATCACCAAATTAATTAATCAAATTAAGAGTAGAGAAAGAGATCCGAAATATATAAAAGAAGGGACTATATGATAAAATAGTTTATTTCATATGAGATTTCATTAATTAATTAAGAGTAGGGAAAAGTCCATGCTTATAAACTGATATACTTCAAAGATTTTATCCTTAATTTCATTCCCAAGTTAATTTGGTATATAGTATCCAATTTGTTTGGATAAAAATTTGGAAAAAAAAATGGTTTGTTTTAAATTATTTATTTAAGAAAACTGGTCAGTACACTGCAAATGTGAATAAAAATTCTTTTTATATTTTAAATAAAATAATAATAAATGCTCCAAAATGTTAATTCTTGAGTCAACTTAAACTTTTTTTTTGGAACAATTTCTATACGGTTAGAAGGGGAGAGAAATTTTACTCCTAATTAATATTGAACCTACAACTAAAAAGAAGAAGAAAAAGAGATGTTCACAAATAACTTTTAACCACGTAATCTATAAGTCGTTGGCTTAAAC